TAGTTGAACTCCCTTGACGCTCTTTTTCTTCCTGTTCGAAGGTTCTCACGTATGTCCCATAAACATATATGAGGTGAAGTCTTTTCATTTCCACCAATCCGTTTGGGACGCTGGAAAACCAATCTTTTAGACTCATTTTGTGTTTGAAATGAAGGGCCTCCATCCTTGGTGTAATTCAAGACGGCGGCGCACAATTTAATTTTTTTCATGTGAAAGACGACGTCGATCTAAAAAGCTGAAAGTCTCGAAACTTCTAACTTCTAACCACAAACTGCTGACTGCGGTTTGACGTTTGCGGTGAACAAACCAAACGTGGATCTAAAATTCTCTATTCTCCTTTTAAATCAGCCTGGAATATTCTTTATAGTTGAAATTCGGGTAAAGGATGATCCTCGTGGCCAGAATTATATGTAATGTTCGTTGTTTTAAACACTCCGGTTATTTTTTTAATTAGCGCTTTTTAAAAATTGGCTGGACATACTAAATTATTGACAAGGAACTTAGAGTTTATAAGTTAAAAGCTTTGGCAACCATAGTTTATGGGGGTGATAACTACTTCCGATAACCTCCCTACTTTTATCCAAAGGATAATGGTATCGCTATCACAAGGCCCCAAAAATATCTATCATCTTTAGTCCACAATTAAATACTTTCTGTGCTACTTTTTGAAATAATGTCGGTTTTATTTTCTCCAGATCAATCCCTGGAACGACTGGATTCTTCACTGCACGATAGCCTCATCAAAGAGATGCCGATTAACGATCCAACAGGCAGGACGTTGTCTTATTGTCGCAAGGGGGAAAGATCTGTTTCACTCTCCAGTAAAGGTAAAACTGTCGCGAATGTTCAATACAGAGATTGAAAGTAGAGAGGTTTTAAAATTCGTGTACAATTGTAGGTCCCTAAATGCCTTCTACAGAATGTACTCGATTTTCAGAAGAGCAAAGAGGTGTTCACCGGGCTTTCTGATGAGCTATTCACCTTTTACAGGCGTTGCGAGAAATATTGTTGTAATTAGTAGCACCGTTAAACCTTTTGCTCATTAAACCTTCAAATCCGTCGTGGTTTTCTTTAAGTTTCTATTAACTCGTCAAAACAAGAGTGAGTGCTGTTAATTGTTGCTAGTCACTTTCAATGCCTTATATTACACTGGAGTATATTTAGCATGCCTTTCTTTTATTATCACCTTTCAGTTGCAGAAGACATGATACGAACTGGTCACTGCGGGCTCTTGCCAGAACGAACAAGCCTAGTAGGACGCAGTGAGATTTGTGAAGATATTGTAACCCTATTGACTTCAAACAAATCGGCTGAAATTGTAGCACCACCTGGATACGGAAAAACAACGGTGGTAATCGAGGTCGCTTATAGGATGATCGAAAGAGGAAAGTTTATCGCCTATGTTAAACCCCGTAATGTTACCTGTGTAGAAGATCTGGCAGGCAAAATTATTGAGGCTTTAGGCTTCGTTCACGGAGAAGACGCAGTAACTGAAGTATTTCATCGCATCTGTTACTTTAAGGAGAAGAGTGTGGTGTTGATCATTGAAAACATCGACGACTTAATGCATCTTGAGAATCAAATAAGTGTCAACGAACTCCATCAAGAACTGAAATCCAAAACGTACTGTGCAAAAATGCGTGGAAAATACTCGAAGGATGACTTTTTTACCTTTTTAAAAGACATAGGGCTAATTTCAAACGTTCAACTGATCCTCACATCTCGAGAAACGTACAATTTCCCAATCGAAGTTATTGATTTAGGGCCGCTTAATGACGAAGAATCAGCTGCTCTGTTCACAAAGAGTGACGGTAATCTAGACGATAGCTTGATCAAGGAACTGGTCAGAGTTTGTGGCGGTATTCCTCTGATAATTTGCACTGTGCTCTTCATTCTTAAACGGGAAAATCCGAAAGAGTTTACTGAGAGACTCTCTTCAAGTTCACCTAGTGATCTCGTCAGAGAACTGAACCCAGAATTTATGGCAAATGAAGACCGCATTGATAAGTGTCTGGAAATCTGCTTTAAACGGCTAAGTCAAGAGAACCAGAAGATTCTTGTCATGTTCTCCACATTTCCGTACAGATTCACGCAAGAACAGTTCCAAACAGCATTTGAGTCATCAGTCGGACACGATTTTCAGACACATCTAAATTGCCTGAAGCAAAGCAGCCTCCTTCATTTCGACAGAAAGAGTTGTCAATACTCCCTTCATCCTTTCATAAGGAACTTCTTTTCTTTGATGCCCGACCACAATGAAGCGAAATCAGTCTTCCTTCGTCACTACAGTGATTTGGCCGTTAGCCTTTGCCGTAAATTTTTGAGTAAGGATTCTAAGTGTGCGATTGAACATTACAGAGCTGAGAAGGAAAACATTCGAGAGGCCATGGCGTGGTGTGGAGATGAGCATCCTGAGCTTGAACAAAGCTTAAGGGAGAAGTGCATCAATGCCTTTAATAAGGCCGCCGTATTTCTTGCAAAGATGATGAAAAGGCAGGAGTTCGAGTCGCTCTTCTGCAAGCTCGCGCATCGTTGTCGCTACGACATGCCTCTTTACAGTGCTTGCCTAACGCACATCGGAATGAACATAGTTTTAAGTTGTACATGCACACCTTTCATTTGCTCAAGAGCGTTATATCGTGCCAAGAGTTTGCTGTCAGATGCGAATGACATCCAGTCAGAACGTAATGACGTGAATAACAGCAACCGGGCCCAGTGCTTAAGTAAGCTTGGTTTCTGTTGCGTTCGCGAGGGGCGTGTTGAAGAAGGCTATGTACACCTGGAAGAAGCCTTAAAATTACGACG